TTGTGGACGTAACTGGGACTGCATCTGCTCCGCCGTAAATCAAACATGCCAACCGCAAGGCAGCATATCCTGGTTGCGGGTAAACTGGCAACCCAATGTAAAAACAGATTTATGGGGAACAATTTGGAAAAACTTCTGTGTTTCACAGCTGCACATATATTATGGTCATTACTTGTATTACTATTAATGCAGACGACGAAAACAACAGTAGCCATTTTAGTGATGCCAGGCAATCACTGATAGTACAAATGGATGGATATTACTAGAATTATTAATGAATATGATTGTCCAAAACCGGGTAAGTTAACATAACTGTGGTTAAGTTCTAAAAGAATTTTTATGAAGATGAAACCAAGCACACAATCATATTTCACAGCAAATCCCGAGAATGAAGAGAGGATCCTTTGTTGTATTTCGCTCATTCTCCAGAATGCCTGAAAGCCGGGTGGCATTCCGGGGAACGACACGCCCCCTCCAGGAAAAGGTGGCCCGCAGATCTCTAGGCAAATGTAGAAAATTCAAAACAGACCCTGGCAATTATATTTTCACCATGTCCAGCCGCAGCCCCCGGGAGATGAGATCATATTCAGCTTCAGGGCTGTAATTGAACACTGACAGGCCTGTGAATGCCGTGGATACCATACCCCTGCACTCCCCCAAACACACACACACACACACACACACACACACACAGATACAAGCAGCGGGGATGAGGGCACTCTACAAGTCCGATATAAAATGTATGACAAACGGAAACACTTTTGACACTTTGACACACATCACCTAGCAGCACCTGCCGCCGTTGGGGGGGGTGGGGGACGGGACACACGAACTCCCACCTGCTAATGAGGGGGAATTGTTTAGCATGTAGGCTAATGGGCTGCTGAGCTCTGTCTCAGACTCGCAGCATTGGCGAGAGGGAGGGGCTCCCCAAGTCCCGCTGCCCCACCCTCCGGTTCCCAATCCCTTTGCTTGTTGTCCTAAGAAACAGTTAAACCAAGTATAGTAATCCTGGACCCTGTCCCAGACAGCTCGGGGGGGGGGGGTTTGCAGGGAACGCCCTGGTCGGGATGCCAGTCCATCACAGGGCATGCACTCACCTACCCCGTGGGCACTTCAGAGGCACCAGTTCGCATAACCACACGGTTCTGACCTGTGGGTAACACTCAGAGCACCTAGAACATGCAAAATACAACCTGCAGCCTTTTGCACTGGACCCACCCCTCCAGTGACCTGCTAAGAGCTGAAGTCACCGGAATGCCCTGCTGTTACACCGTCCAGCAGAACATATCATCTGAGTCATCTCTGTCAAACAGACAGAACTGCAAGTTGCTGCGGATAAAGGCATCTACACGCAAATACACAGTTAAATGGGTACAAAGCATCGTTTTCATGTCGCAAGTGATCATATTAATAAAAAGGAGCAGAACATTTCATTAGCACAGACAAATTCCAGGCTCTACGGTCCATGTCCAGCACAAAGTTTAATGCGATATAAAATTATAGCGAGCCGTCAACTGTAACATCTGAAGTGACTCGATTTCAATACTGCGATTAATTTGTTCAACAGCTCAATCGCAGATAATTAATTATGAGCTCAGTGGAATGCGCCAGGGACTGAGCAGGAAAGTGGCAGGTATAATGTGAGTGAAACCCACACCGCTTGCCCCGCCCCCTTAATTAGCATACAGGCCTGAGGTCGCCGCCCCCAGAGGGGCCAACTAAGCTGTTTGCTCTGGGGCTTCTGTGAAATACCCAGTTAAGCAGGCAGGAAACCAGGACAGTCCTGCGACACGCCCATGCTTCCCCCTGAACTGTGACCAAAGTCATCCCTGTGTTAGCAACATTTCTCCTCGATATTAAGACAAACCGTCACGAATCCCTCTCGACGCTCCCAAAAAGCTGCCCCCTAACCCTCCCATCTCAGCGATTTAAATGAGAAAGAGAAGCTCACGCAGGAGGAGCCGCACTGGCCCGTGTGCGTAAACAAACTTCAAAGGCGGGCCGTCATTCTGCCGTAAATATTCAATTACTCACTGTATAGCAGTCCTCACGCACCACTGCCTATAAAAAGGCCTCTGGATCGACGCAAAGGCAGCCCGGCACCGAGACAAACAAAGCGTAACAAATCCTGATTATCGTCTGTCGGCACGCAAACATAATAATGGGGCGAAGTGTTCGGGGGAATTGATCCTTTTCAGGGATCTATCTGATTAACTGAGACCTTAATAGCTTCCTGTGTTCCTGGCTTGACTGGAGACGGGGTGGGGGTGGGCGCCAAGGAGCCTTAGCCCCGGAGAAGAGATTCCATTAAGATTCAGTACCATCAGACTACGTTTACAAATCGTCTGGAAAGGCATTATGAAAATGATTATACAGGCAAAGCAACTTATTACTATGCATTGTTCATCCCACACGCAAGGTCAGGAAATTATACAGCAGGCATCATAAACAAGGCAACGGCAGTTCAGAGCCGCTCCCGCGTTACAGTAAGAGGTTTAAACGGCGCTTATCTGCCGCAGCGAAACACTCACACCGTCGCCACGATCCACGGTGGCTTATGTAACTGGAAACGCCCTCGGCTGATTCAGAACCTTCCGGAAACCTGCAGGACACCCGTCTCTGAAGCTACGGCGCGTCGGCCGCTGCTGATGGCCGCGTGGAGACAGGCTGTCTCGGCTACGGGTCCGGCAGCTCCGGCCGGCACCCCTGGGAGCTCCCCCCGGTGCCGAGGACCCGAGTCCTCAGCCTGCCGGCACCTCCCATGGGAATGGGCCGAGTCGTGCTGCAAACGGACAAGCGGGCTGGCCTTCTCCGAAGCCGGAGACCGGCCTTGCTATCCGAGATGTCCCTAAGGGGAACCGGGGAGTCTGCTAACAGCCCGTCAGTGCAGGACAGAAGCCGTAGAAATATAAATGCTTTGCTAACACAGAGCAGCGGCGGGATTCAGACCCTCAACCCTGGAGGTGTGAAGCAGCAGAGCCGCCTTGCTAGCCAGTAAATTATCTAAGATCTACACTAATAAGAATCTTTAATGCCAGACTGTAATCAGTCAGTGTTTCCCACAAACAGCAGAAGAACCTTGTGTCTGCTTTGACCCACTAGTCCTGGCTTTCCTCTCCTCCCCCCTTGAGCATCTGCTCGTGAGAATCTCGTAATACAAATGATATAATTATAGTGCTGCATAATACATAATGGAATATGCCGTAATTATATCCGCAATGTAAAAACAGTAGAGAATTTAATTAATTTATGTTAAAATGATTATGCATTTTCCCTGTAGCATTAGGGTTACATGATAGGTATGTCGAAGCACACGTGCTGTGTGTGTGTGTGTGCGTGTGTGATGCGTGTTTTTGATGCTATCCGCTGTGACACGGAAGGTCATGTGACTGTAACTGCTCAGGCAGTCACTCCTCCTTTATCTGTCTGGCCAGTTGCTGGGATGGTGTGAGTTACACTGTGTGCGTCTGAGGGAAAAACAGGGACGTTCACTCTCTACTCCAGTGGGAACAGTGGAAACACAGAGCTCTTGACAGAAAATCTACAACGCCTGGACGTCGTTTGAGAGAGAGAGACGCTGGATGGGGGGACATACCTGGAATGCCTGGGTGTGTCTTCAGGTACTTCCCGTTGAAATGCTGTATCACCACTTCACACTTCTCTGTGGACTCCATCCTGGGTGGGAAGGGGAGGGGGTACAAAGGTCTCGTCAGCATGGCTTAGCGGGGGCGGGGGGCCCAGGCGGAGCCACAAGGAGGCAAAGGGGTCGTCTGTGTAGTTTACTTACATTACAAGGCTATGGCTGGTGTGGCAGCGAGGGACTCGTAACTGGCATAAAGTGATTGGGACCCATTAGTATCTGTTAGTACCTACTTTAATTGCTTCAGTAAATGTCTGTCTGTGCTCTGTAAATAACGTCTGTGAAACATTTATTCTGTAAAGGTTTAAATAACAGGTACATTTACTGAATATAATCCAACAAATTACAAATTATAATTTTTTGGATAATATAAAAACGAAGAGCAAATGGTCATGTGAATAGACGTTTGGTTCTGATCCAGATGCCTGACCCGCATGCCCTGGGATCCCCCACAACGCCGTGCTGCCATGCCCCCCCCTCCCATTTAGGGCTTATGGAGGGGTTCAGAAGGCCCTCGTGAAGAAGCCTCAGCACAGCCAGGACACATGTGATAACCGCTAATAAAATCACGGCCCTCGCATACCACGATTAGCCACCCGCCTGCCGGCCGAGGCGTAATGGAGTCTGATAGCCGGGAAGCTAAGCAGAGTCCCCCCACCCCCCGACCCTGAGCCCTGTCTGGTTTGTCTCCATCCAGATCTCAAGGGCAGGCCTGTGCCGCCTTCGGGATCTGATTTGCATTCGATGGAATCTGATCCCCTTACAGCCATTCTGAGCTTCCTCTCCTGGTTAGCAGGAACCCAGACTGCCCGGGGGGGGGGGTCATATGCGTGTCATATCGCTGTATGTGGGGAGGCCTCTCAGTGATGGCATGCTGTGACACTAAAAAGTGTAAGGGGGGGTGTCATACAGAACCAGTCAAAAGTTTGGACACACCAAGCTGCCTACAAAGGAGAGTCATAGAATTGCATCACATGACCTGGCCACCTGAAACACAGCAGAAATGGTTTTGGGTGAGAAGGAAAAGCGGCCAATGAGAGCTCAGCATAAATGTGGGACCTCTTTCAGGACGGCTGGAAATGCATCCCAGGAGGCCATGGAACTGGCGTAATTGGGGTTAAGGGCCTTGCTCAAGGACCCAGTGGTGGGATCACTGTACTGACCCAGGGATTTGAACCAACAACCTTCCATCTCCAAGCAATGTCAAGAAAACAGAAGAAATGGGAGTCACAACCCAAAAAGCTCCCCCTCCAACAAACTATTTTTTTTTTGTTTAATATTTTTTGGAACAATGTATAATTCAATATTGTAGCATTGATGTCTTAATAATTATTTTTAAAATGTAGGAAATAGTACAATTAAACCTTTCTGTTCGTAGGTGTGTCCAAACTTTTGACTGGCACTGTATCACACCGCATATAGGGTGGGATTTGACAGTGGGGGGCACTTAAAGGGGACCGGTCATTTACACCATAACCACCCCTCCTTGGATTTGCATTGTGATTATGAGGGTGTGTCTCATCTCATGGGGGGGGGGCTGGCTTAACCACACAGTAAATAAACAGGAGGCGTGAGATTGAAAACCTATGGTAGCTGTGACCGTAGTGTGCTGTCAATCATGGTGCGGTTGGCCAATGGGGACCAAAAGCATCAGGAGGGCGGACCTGGCAAAGCCGACCCCGCGGCTGACCCCTCCGGCGTCCCGCAGGATCCGCGTGGAGATGACGTGTCCAAAGGGCTTCAGCATGCTTTCCAACTCCTGCTCGTCCATGGACACCGGCAGGTTGGAGATATACAGGTTCGTGGGGTCCTGCTCCTGTTGCTGAGACGAGAGAAGAGTAGGTGGAAACGGCTCATTGCCATGGTTACAGCGCGACCGGGGTCGCGGGTGTCTCCCAATTAGATCATGCTTTAACCTGATTATGGCACTGGCATCTATCTGCCGTCGTGAAGCGCGGGCATTACCGGAGTCATTACGGTCGGCGGATGCGGGAGGGGGGCGACAAGCTATCCATATGCTGGGGGGCAGCGCCGCTGCGCTGGGGGGTGTCATTAAACAGGCCCTCTGCAGAGCACCAAGGCAGCTAATGACTGCTCTCTCAGACGCATGGACCGCTCAGGCAGAGCAGCTCCATCAGACTCCAGTTGGGCGGCGCAGCAGGTCGGCACGCTGAGAGTCGCCTGCACCGTCTCTCTGGCAGCAGCGCATTTCCTGCATGTTCTATACTTACACTGAACTGAGTTTGTGGTGTGTGATCCATAAGTTATATACAACTTACACAACCGAAGGAAACCTTCATCGCAGTCACCCCCAGCACCCCACCGGCTCCCCGTCCTCTCTGTCACTTGCGTGTTAGCATATTAGCATGGGATTCATGTGTTCTTCATGTTTCTTTAGGGAGTTCTCTGTCCTTTGCGTGTATTTCTGTGTGGTTTGCCTGTGCTGTGTGTCCTTTGCGTGTATTTTATGTGTATTTTATGTATTTTATTTATGTTTTTGCGTGTGTTCTGTGTGTGGTTTGCCTGTGCTGTGTGTCCTTTGCGTGTGTTCTGTGTGTGGTTTGCCTGTTACCTGTGTCCTTTGCGTGTATTTTGTGTGTGGTTTGCCAATTCTATGTATCATTTGCATGTTGTCCATGTCTTTTGTCTGTCTGTTCTATCTCTGTATCCCTAGTGGGACACAGTTCTATGCCCCCCCTAAAAAAGCTGTTCTGCCAGTTGCCCAGGCTGGAGGAGCATGGCGGGTGATCCTCCAAAATGTGCCCCCCCCCCNTGCCAGTTGCCCAGGCTGGAGGAGCATGGCGGGTGATCCTCCAAAATGTGCCCCCCCCCCCTCGGGTCACCCCTCTCCCCCCTTGCCCATCCACGTGCGGCCCTCTCCTCTCCCCTCCCCACCAAGCCAGCTAATAAAACAGTAATTGAGTAGGGGGGCTGTGTGCTGCTCCGCAGCCAAGCACAGAATAGGAAGGTTAATGGAAAACCCACAGGCTATCAAGCCCTTAATGACCATAATTCCTGCATCTCCACCAGGAGAAGAGGCTCCACGTCGCTCCATCTCCACGATGAGCCGGCAGCACAGCTAATTACCCAATTATTTCCTGTGTTAGATGCTGTTCTGTTGCATCTCCATGCAATGTCAAAAAAACAGAAGATATGGGAGGTTTGGGGAGAGGGGTGTGTTGATGTAGACAGCCAGAAATGATCAGCTATGGTGGCCTTTAGGAAAGAGGGCTGTGAGATTGGTGGGGGGGTGGGCAAAGGCACAGCGTTGGCATGAAAGCGGTGTATGTCGCTTAAACGATGATAAATGTGGAACCGGGGGGGGGGGGGTTTGGAGAGGTGAGTTTCACAGCCCTTGTCCCCCCTCCCGCCTTCCCTGATGGTCTTCTCGCTCCTCTTGGAGAGAGACCCAGAGCACTCCTGCCAGCACTGGGGGGGAGGGGGGTCCTGTGGTTGCTAAGGCTGCCTCCTGCCCCCGGCCCCGGGTTCATGAGAGGCAGGCACGTCTATCACCTCAGGCAGGAGCGCCAGGCGGATTCCAGAACCGCCAGGAAGGAACAGCCGCCCTTCTGTCGCCCCGATCCCGGGCAAAGCTTCCCTCTGTGCCGTGAGTAGTGTGCGGTGTAGCCCGACAGATGGCGTGGAGGGCGGGTGGGAGTGGGGGCCAGGTGTGACCTCCCCTATCAAAGATCTGCTCCGGATTGGTAAAAAGTTCGCAAGCCGCTCAGAGTGAAAGTGGAAGGTGGGGGCTCCGGGTTTAAGATCACTTTCTGCCAACATGCTGCCCCCCCCCCCTTATTAAGAGATCGATTTTCAGGCACTTAGAAGCTCTACCCTGCTGCACTGCCTCTCCCCACCCCTCTAAGAGAAGCAGCAACGGGCCGGCTGTGTGTGATTAACATGGGCAAATGACAGCAGAGCAGATAGATTGAGTGACAAGAGATATAGCAATGCGCATTCCGGTCAACGTAATTCAGGAGCCCACTAGGGGGAGATGTTACAAAGCATACCTGTCAGGTGCAGTGCACCAGTGGTTTGTGCCAGCAGGAGGCAGTACAACCAAACACAGGAAAGGGAAGAACATGTCTCTGCAAAACCATGGGCGAGTTACACTGTCAGAGATATTACATTTCAGTGAGCGTATTACGGGCACTAAACTGCCATTAAGGAAGCACAGAAAGAGGAATTTACTACAAGAACAGCTTTTAACAAGCTGGTTACCAGATCACTGACAAAGTGCAAATCTCTCAAAAAAAACTTCACACCCTCCACAGGAGCTCATAAAGTGATCCGCCCTGAGCGGCGGTCAGACTCTGGGACGAGGCCGGTGCCATCGAGCCAATCGTGTACGCATCGTTGATTGATCAGCTGGGGAGAAGCGACGGCGAGCTAATGAGATCGACCTCCCGCCATTTAGCCGTAGGACAGAGCTGCCGTGTCCTGTCCTCTCCTAATTAGCCTGGCGGGATCGAGACAAAAACAGGAGTGGACAGATGGAAGATTTTCCGGGTTGGGAGTATCACAAACTGAAGCGGTACATTTGGGAAGGATCTACGCACCGGTGGTGACCGAACACAGAAGGCACCCTGATCCCATTTGACTGCTCTGGTATAGATGATGTTCTAGACCACATTCTCAAACCCGCGGTTTATGAGGAGAAGCAGAGTGATGCTATTACTATATAACACTATTACTTACTGCACCTTTGACATAATTGGTGCTGTATAGCTCTTCGACAGTGATATTAGGGCAAGTGAGTCTAGTAGAGTTTGTAGAGTCTAGTTGTAATACATTCTCTAGCCTTGTCTCCTATTGGCCTGTCACTCTACCCACTTCCTGTAAAAAACAGGAAGTTCCTCACACAGTCACATCCCATAAATATAAGACATGTTTCAAATGAACCCCTCATTGTATGCATTTTATTAATAATGCATTAATAATATGACTATTGGGTAGTATAAAGAATACAATAGTAAGAACATTGTGTTGGATATGCTGCAGGCAGGACAGGGGAATAGAACCATATAATTTTGAGAGAAGAGGAAGGGATGAAGATTTTATCTGCAGATAGGGAGTGGATGGCAGTGGGAAGGGGAAATGGAAAGTAAAATGCACGTCAGGTCTCGGAGATGGTGGTAGTGGAACCGGAAATCAAGCATCCTGGCCTGGGTCTGTGTTCTGGCAGCGGAGTACATCAGAACTCAGCCTTACAGGGACAGGTGAAGCGAATGGATCATCACCTGCTTAACCCCCCCCACCCCACCCCCAAATATTACACGTTGTTATGAAATGGTTACAGACAATATACATTGTATGTGGAGAAAAATGAGTAGTTCTTCCTCCTTCTAAAGTGCAATGAATGAGGCTGTTTCCTGCTGCAGAGTAAACACCGTCTGAGGCCCACCTGGTCAACAAATCCCCCTCTGACATGCGATGCGTGGATGTGGCCCTGTGTGCCTGGGTAAGGAATGTTAGGTGGCAAGAGAACAAATAAACACACGTTCGCAAAGAAGGAAAAAAAATCTGGGGCATTTCCCAGTCTCAGTGAACTATTCTGAGAAAATTCATGCAGGACTTACATGAAAAACACATTGGTAACATTTTTATCTCCCTGTAATCCATATTAAAGCGGAAAGACACTTCAACTGAATACAATGCAGCCTTAAAAAATGTAAAATGCTCACATCGAGTCACTAAACTCATATTATAGCATAGCATCAACAATTGTATTGTTATATAAAAATACATGTATTAGGAGGAGTCAGCCAGAAACTGTGGGAAATTGCTAAATGAAAGCCCAGCAGAGGTGCAAGCAAGGGCAAATAAACAGCAAAAAACCCAAATCAACACCTAGTGAAGGAGAACAAGATGTCTGAGCTGAGGAAAACGGTGTTAGACTTAAGAGCATCGGGGCTGAGGAACAGGGTGTGTGGGCTGAGGAACATGGTGCCTGAGCTGAGGAACATGGTACCTGGGGTGAGGAACATGATACCTGGGGTGAGGAACATGGTGCCTGAGCTGAGGAACATGGTACCTGGGGTGAGGAACATGATACCTGGGGTGAGGAACATGGTGCCTGAGCTGAGGAACATGGTACCTGGGGTGAGGAACATGATACCTGGGGTGAGGAACATGGTGCCTGAGCTGAGGAACATGGATTCAAACTAAATCCCCAGATAAACATGATTTATTTGATTTAAAACTTCTGGTAACCAATCAAAGAAAGACAGGACTCAGCTTCTGAGGAACTTTCCTGAGAGCATGAAGGAGAAATCTAGTGGAGACGGTACAACGGATCTGAGAGGCAGGAGGCCGACGGTCTCCCAGCAGGCTGCGGCCCTGCAGAAAGGCAACGCTTTGCTGCCATCTCCGTTAACACGACTGGCTGCCGTCGACCACTTTACACCCTCCACAGAATGCTAACTGATCCCATAGCTGGTGCCGTGGGGAAGCATGTTAGCTGCTTATTACGGGCTCAGAAGGAACCACCTCAAACGGGAATAAAACACTAACCACATGTAAGAATCACAGGTGAAGAAAAAAGAAATTCGTTTTACAAAGAATATCCATATGATATGGGATAAGTAAAGTGCATCTAATCTAAAATAAAGTAAAGCCATGAGTAATGCATGGTAATACTACACAGAGGAATACTCAGTCATCAAGGGCTATCAAGTCCTCGAGGTTAAGACACTGCAGTGAGACGTAATGGGCGATCTGGTACCGTTCCTTGACCTCTGACCTCTGCATTACAAGGAGACCTAAATGTCACTTTGCTGGCGGTTCTGGTGGACCAGTGACAGTACGTCGATTTTTGACACA